GTCTATGGTTGAAAGATTTCAGCTCTGGGCAGCCTTTCCCATGGCTTTTAGACATTTGCAGTTGTGTTTCACGTAATTAAACAGCCAACAATACTTAATGAAGAAATAAATAACATCGATAAAGTAGTAAATAATTATATGCAGGCAAACACCAAAGACATTATCCATCAGGCAACAGCTGTGAGCATTAGTTTTGATTAATCAATAATGTTGTACAATAGGAGCAGGAATGCTGGCCAGGCCTCTGGGGGAATCACCTACGCTTTTCTGAGCAGCAAGCATTGCGATTTTAAGCAGAACTTTCAGCAGAATCTTTAATTAAATGTAACAGCTAGAAGCTCCTCCAGCAGCAATGCCACACTTCTCAAAGCCCACCGAGCAGCTGGAGTTTAACCAAGACCCATTTAAGGCATCATCTGTAATCGGAAAGGTTTCTTGGTACATCTGTGCTGGGGGACACCGATGGGGTACCACGTCCATCAGCAAAGGCGCTGTTGTGCCAAGGGCGCTTTGGTGGGGTTTGGTGACCCTCTTGGCATGGAACTGGTTGTGCCTGGCTTGTGCCACCTGGGAAAAACAAGCTGGTGCTTTTGGCTCTGCCTCCAGCAAGGTGGCAGCAGGGCACTCCTGCCCAACCTGCAGCTGGAGCCTGTGGGGCCTCATCGCAGTCTGGGCACCCATCGGAGCAAGTGCCTGTTCTGTAATTTGTTTCAAAATGTAAATACAGTTCAAATTTCCCACATGTGCACCAGCTCCTCTGGAACCTGGTGTGGGCAGGTTTGTGATGAAATCAGCAAAGTCTGGTTCATCTTTATCCGTGCCTCTTGGATAGAGGAGCCTTAATGAAGCTTTCAAGAGAAATGGATCTCCTCCCAGGTATATCCCTCTTCCCGTCACTCTTGCCACCAGCCCCTTGATTTCCGTGGCACTGCTGCCTGCTCGGGCACATCCCTAAATTGTGCTGAGAGGTTCTGCTCCCATTGGCTAGCCAGAGTGTGGGCTTTTCCTTTTCGTTTCATTTTTTCCCTTCTTTAATGGATAAAGAGCTTTAAAAGAATGCAAACATTGAGAAAGGCTGATCTCGGCACCAGATCCCAACCTAGATAAAAGGTACAAGGTTTTATAGCCCTTACCCTATTGAAAGGGAAGGAGAAGAAAGGACAGGAAGGGTTTCTGGTATGTCAGGGACAGGTTTCCAGAGCCTGTGCTCGCATCTTGATGGTTTGTTCCTCATGAAACCAATTGCTGATGACTTCTTGGCATCTGAATAAGCAACAGCACCATGTTGCTTCTACTGTGAATCCAGTGCTGGGGGTACCTCTCCATGAGCGGAGATGGGAGCACAAGGAGAAACAGGGGAGTGAAGTGAAGGGCTTGTCTTGATGTGAACAAAACAGCTGTGTAGACCCACACCTGATGGGTTACTTCAATTCTGTGAGATGGCAGATGCACGTGGGAATTTTGCAAGCATAAGGCACATGGGTTTGTTGAGCTAGAAATGGCAAATCTTCAGAAAGGGATGGACAGGGAAAGCCCTCAGCTCTTGTCCAAGAAATGGAGGTTTGCAGAAGGCAGTGGTGGAAACATCCACACAGCTTAAAATCCCAAACACTGCCGAAAGACCACTGTTGAAGGTTTTTTCCCCCATACCTTATCAGCGGAAAAACCAGGAACAGAAATCTCGCATGATAATTGCTGGTAGCACAACAAACCCCAGAGGGTTTCCTTACCCGCTTCTCAACATGCAGGCAGTAATAAACTTCTGTGATAGCATTAATATTCCTGATAGTCTCTATGGGCTCCTTCTCCCAGACGTGAATCTCATTATCATCTGCAAGCCCAAAGTAAATTTGTAGGCGTTTAAAGGTGTAGCCTGTGAATTGTGGTGCTGCTGCCTGCTCACAGCCCCTCAAAGCACCTGCCAGCCAGGTATGGTAGCACCAACTGTGCTTCCAGAGCCTGGCATGGAAAATAGGTAGTGCCAAATCTATACGGATCTGGTTCGGTCCCAGATAAACAGTACCAAGTGAAAACTGCTCACGGTTCCCCTTTCAAATCAGCAGATATGATTATGGGTCTCCTCCTTCCCCTGTGAAGTTTACTGGGTTTGCTGATCCCAGCACCATGCGGAGCCTGCTCTTGGTTAATCACCCCCTCGATATTTGGGGTGTACCCAGAGGCACAGGGCACACATGAACATTTCTCTGTGGACATTGAGGCTGGTGAGGACGAATTGACTACATTTCCTGCAAAAACAAAATCTCAGTTGCATGTTTTTAAATAATACAGTGTAAGTAACCTATAAAACTCATTGCTTTTCCCTTTCCTAGAAGACTGGAAAGCATATCAAAAAGCCACAGGTAAAAAGCAGGGTTTGGAGTTCTTTTTTTTAGTTCTTTGTCAAATTCTTTCACAGAGTACCCCCACTGGCTTCAGGGACAGTATTTATGGCAGGTATTAATTTGTTCAGTGAGATAAATTAAAAAATTACAGAGAAAGAATAAGCTTTTGGTAAGACATGGATCCCTCTCCAGAAAAGCAGCATCTTAATAACAGATAACATGTTGACTTGACTTTAGAATAAAGCCTTATTCTCAGTTCAATTGTAAAGTACCTTAAGTACTAATTTTTTCCTAACTGAAAGAAGGTTTCTGCAGACCTTTTCTTCCCAAGCAGACAATATTTGGCATCTTGTGCACTGTATCAGATAAGACAAGTGAATGATATTCAGGTATTTCTCTGCAGTCCTGTTATCCCTGCTTTGTTTTATTGAGATGAATCTCTGGATTTCTAAACCCAGGAAGGGCAGATCTCATCAGACCTCCTCCTTTCTGGCTGTCCTGAGCTTGTAGTTCCCACTGACTCTGCTCAGAATGGGTTTTCCCTTTGGTTGCTGTTTTCTGGTTATTTTGGTAGGGGTGGAAGCACTGCCCCAGGGCACACAGTGACCAGCAACCAGCTCTCACCTCCCTGTGTCTGCCTCTGTCCTCTGGTTTCACCAAAATTCAGGGGTTGGGAGTGAAATCTTTTTGAGGGATTGCAATTTTTCAAGCCCTTTTTATTGCTAAGCTAGGTAAAGCACCTGTCAAAGTTATTATTCAAATGTGGCATATGTTTTGCTGTGAATTTTCAGTAGAACTCTTTCCAGTGATTTCCAAAATAAATGAGACTTTGCATAGTACTTTTTCCATATTTAACATTGCCTTTCTGGCTTTGCAGCCAAGGCTTCCTTTTAAAGGCATGTGCATGAGATTATGCAATCGTAGTACTCCGGATACCCAGAGCAATTAAAATAAATCAGGCTAGGTATAATGAAGATGAGCCAAAGCATCTGTTTCTCAAGAGGATTTAAAAAAAAAACCCACCAACTCTATCATCCCCAGGGGCTTGGATTCGTGGTGGTTAGACCTCAGAGATTCTTATACTTCAGAAATGTGTCCAACACTCACTTGGGTAAGCAAAGGAGGAGCTGGAAAGGAGGAGAAGACTCTCTGGTATGGCAGCTATCCCTGCTCCCTGGAAACAGTGGCTGGATAACCTCGTGTGTTTGGCAAAGCTGGACTTGCAGATCACTTCCGTTTCCCTTCTACTGTTTTAGTTTGACGTGTGTACCTGGATGGAGAGGAGGAGGAATGATTTCTGCATCCTCTCCAGGATAACTACAGATTATAAACACATCTTGTGTTTATAAATCTGTAGTTAATGATAGTAGGGTTGGCTCAGTAGAAGGTGCAGAAAAGTCCATCCCCCCTGATGCCAGTGGCAGGGACCAGAGCGACCTGGGACAGAGGAGCACTTGCTTGTTGAGCCACTTGTCTTGCAAGACAAGAAGCAGCCTTAAGGCTGTAGAGTTGAGGTACCAGGAGCTATTCTGATTCATTTCCTCCTGTGCTGCCACTTGGCACCAGATTCCAAAAGCCTTTTTCAGGCAAAACCGTGGAGGAGGCAAGGTGCAGGCAGTCCCCAGCAGGTTGTCTGCTGAGCTGCCTTGGTTACGTACTTAGGCGGGAATGGCTTGAAGACAGCTTAGGCAAAGGTTAAATGTTGCTAAACTGTACCAGATGATTGACTCATCAGTTTTGTGACATCTGTAACTCCGGTAAAGGATGAAGACATGGGAGTAACTGCAGAAGACACTGCTAGCACTTCCAGGGTAAAAATCTGCATGCAAAGGGAAGAATGAGGTCATGATGGTGGATGCACCAGCCCTGCAGGTACTCAGGGGAACTCAGGAGCCCTTTCTTTGTATCACTGCATCTCATCCTAGTTTAGGTAAAAAAGATCTCAATAACCACAAGGTCAAATGTCCTTGCACAAACCAAACTGGGGAAAACAGGAAAACTCAGTCCTAAAACAGGCAAGCAAGAGTAAGAGCTTAGGCATCAGCAAGGCGGGCAAAGTAAATGAGGAGGTGAAGTCCCCTGCTTTCACATGAGGGCAGGGCGGAAAAAGGCAAATTTTGAGTTTGGCTGGTGCATCCCCTGCCTGGGGAGCCCACCTTGCCCTGGCTTGCTCCCCAGCAGCACTGGCTGCTCCCTCTGTGATAGCTACATACCCTTCTCTGGAGTTCACCAAGTCTATTAAAAAAAAAGGAATTTTCTCAGAAAAAAGGCCACAACAGCTCAGACTTGCTAAGTGGAAAGAGGCCAGCTTGTTTACTTAAACCAATTTAAATCTAGCACACCGAGAATAGCAACTTGCTTTGACCACTGACTTGGGTAAATATGGCCTGGCATTCTTACGGTGATATTTCCAGCCCCTGCTATCCCCATCATGCAGACGTATATATATATATATACACACATATGTATGTTTTCACTGAAAACCGTTGAGGTAAATTATTTGACAGGAGCTGGATGTGAAATGGCTGGTGTGTGTGTTTCCTGCACGTCATTTGGAAACTGAGGTTCATCTAAAGTCCTACCAGGCAGCATCCCCTTTTGAGCCTTATGATTATAAAAGAAGGAGTTTAGTCGCATTTAGGAACATTTCCAGTGAGAAATTTTATTCAGGATTTGTTGAGAAGGCAGGTATTTTTTGCAGATAAATTAGCATGTTTTCTGAAGTGATCCAGACAGAAGAGGATAGCTGGGGATCTCTGGCTGGACAGTGACGGTGTTTCAGCTTTGAAATGACAATTCAGCCCTTCCAACACAAGATGAAATGATCTCTATGGCCTCGGCTCCCTCTTTTCTTTCACAGCCGTCCATGCTACTGCTGCACATAACAAGGCATAATTTTACATAAGTAGAGGACTGTGCTCTGAGCCAATATACAAGTCATACCTGATTGAATATTGCCATTTCAGAGCCACCATCTAATCACATTTTTCAGGCTGTGTGAACAAAATAATGTTGTTATAATTACACACAGTGTTTGTGTGTATGCGCACATGTGTATTATATATGTATAATGACATTAGGATGATAATATAGCTGTTTCTATTAGCTCTGTGGTATTAATAAGGTATGACAGAAAGTTATTTGATACCATTTGAAATCCCACTTGCATTTTCATATTGCTCTCAGATGTAATTCAGGGACTTGATTTTTATGAGTTATGGCTCTGATGTCACTTGTATTTTTGCCTGTAATAGGTCCCACCGGAGCAAAATTCATCAGACTCAATTAACAGCATCTGAAAAGTGTATCTTGGTTAGCAACCGATCAGGCAGAAACGGTGTGGGTTTGGTTTTAGCTGACCCATCACCTTGTGCCTCTGCACAGAACCAGCTTTCCAGGCAGCAGGTAGCAGCTGCTGCATCATACTGTTACCGTGAGGGTTAAGCAAATATTTTTGGGGCTACCAAAGCGTTGGCTCTTCCCATCCCATGGCTTCACTCCTTGTTATGGGTCTCATAATACTCTACAACCATTTGGGCATCTTCCTAGTTTCTGCATGTGGAGGTGATCTGTCCTAACACAGTCACTTTTTTATCTCTTGATATTCAGTGATGATAATTTTCCTTAAGCAGCCTGATCCAGGAGCCCTAGGGCAGTGGGGTGCTTATTCCAGGCGAGCTCCTAGCAGTGCTACAGGGGAGTTAAAAACACGATGCCAGGGTGACAAAAAGAAGTGCAAGGTAAATAAAAATAACTCCAAATGCGCATAGGAATTGAAGGCTGGGTTTTGAAAGCTGATCTCGTGTAGGGTTTTCTGCTCAGTTCGGTCACTGATTTGGGCTGGTGGATCTTCTGACGGGAAGATAAACGCTCTGACTCCTGGTATTATTAATCCTTTGAACTGGTGATTCACACATCTGATCTAAAGGGCTTCCAAAGTGAGAGACTGATCCCAAAACCTGCTAGAGTGAACGCAAGGCCTCATGGCAGTTTCACAGGGCTGTGCATCCCATCCTATGTGCTGAGTGGGAGCAGGGGCTGGCGTCGCCCTCACAGCCCCACCGTGACTCCATCTCCCACCCTGGACGCTCCCTGTAAAACTCCTCTGAGTCTTAAAAGGCTGGAAGGGAAAAGCTCTGAGTAGAAAATCACCAAGTGAAGTGGAGCACCCCCCAGCACTGCTGGCTGCCCACCCCCCCGTGCAGGCACAGCCCCCTTGCAGCGTGGGTCAGGCTGCGTTCCCTTCTAAGCACAAAGCCGGGCTTGAAGACTCCAATTGCTTCCTGTCTCCCAACATGCCTGACCACAACTATTTTTAATTGTAAGGCACAAAAATAAAGTTATTTAATAAATTAACGCTTCAAATGCTTTTTTGATTTCAACTTTGGTTGTTTATTAGGACCAGTCTTATTTTGGCTTCTATGCAGTCATTTCCAGCTACCGCTCTGTTTGATCCCCCTCTTATTTCCTTTGTAATCTACTGATCTTCTGTTGTTATCATTGCTGTGTTTTATGGTTTTGCATTACTTTATTGACTCAGTATACTGTAGGCTGCCTTTTTTTTTTCCTCCCTCCACTGAAAATAGCCTTTTATGAGAAGCTTAAGCAAAAGCCTGGAATGTCCAAAGGAAAGCACAGAAACATTACAACATTTTGCACATTTCTTTTGGCCAGAGAAAGTTAGAAAATATTCATATGAAGAAACCTATCCAGTGCCTGCAGGAAAAAATCCAGCATTTGATAATATGTGGAATTTCAATTTCTGCTATAAACAGGCTCTGTATTATTTTTATTTATTATTTTGAAGTATAAAGAGTTTTTCAGGGGGAGAAGGCTCCTCTACAGTTGATGTCAGAGCAACGATGAGTACACATACCCTCACTGCTGGGAATATGTACTCTTCCATGCTGCCACAACCTCTGTTGCTATCCCATTCCAAATGCTACCAATTAGAAAGCAGGATGCTGATGGTCTTGCCATCCAGCAGCACTGGATGAAGCAACACCAAGGGCTGGAGCTGTGGGGACAGAGGGTAAACTCTCCTTTTGCTCATGCTGTGCCCCCTCCCCTGCCCCACAGATACTGAGCTCCTCTAGAACTGGCAGTTAGGTGGCGTCCTGGAGGAGCTCAATGCATGGACTGGTGGCTTGGGTCATCCTGCATAACCCCTGCCTCCCAGTGTCCTTCATGGATAAGCAATCCCTGCTGAGAGGACCAAAACATGCCCTTGCCTGGTTATCCAGCCTCACCACCTTCTTAATAGTGGTTATAACACCATGGCTTGGAGGGAGGCTTGGAGCAAGACTGTGGCTGGTGGGAAGAATTGGGCTCTGCAACTCTCAGAGCCACGAGTGATTCTCTGTGCAGTGGGTGGGAGCTCAGGGTCAGCACCGAAGCTGCCAGCAATGCCTGGGCCCCAGCTGCTGGCATAGAAGCAGAGGGATTTGGGCACTTAGGTGGGTAGTTCTCTTTGATTTGATTATATATTGTGAGAAAGGAGCAGCCCTACCTGCCTGAGACAAAGAAAACGAATTAACAAATAAAAACCTGTTTGTGCCCAATATATTGTCACAATTGTTTGAGGACGGTTTTATCTGTGTGAGAATATAATCCTGATTAAACATGCCAAGGTCAGTGGAAACAAAGGTGAATTGCTGAAGAAATGCAAGTTATTCTGTGCCAGAGTTCGCTGGGGGTGAAATGGAGCAGCACTCCCTGTTTTGTGGGGATGTGTCGAGGTGTGGGTCCCACTTGCATCACCTCCCATACCTACCCAGCCCCTGCCAAACATCCTTCCCTCAGGGGACTGAGCTCCCAAGCACAAAGTAGCAGACTTTAGTGGCCAAAAGGGCTGGTATTTGCAGCTCTCCTTAGCTGTTCTGCCAGTTTTGCCCATCCAAGCCGAGCTTATGCAAGGTGGAAGTCCAAGCACTGGTACCCACTGGCTCCGTGCCTGCCCCATCCAGCATCTCAGCTCTCCCCTGGTGCTCATGGCCTTTTCACCCCTGTACAGCCAAGAGACTGTGAGGCCACAGACCAGACAGGCACTTGGCGTATTCCAGAAGGATACAGGACAGGAAAGATGAAACCTCCAAAAACTGGAAGGATTTGGTAATTCCTCCAGGGGAACCAGTAGAAAAGCAGCCTCCTTCTGGAGAAGCACCCAGCCTCCCAGTGGAGCCTGCAACAGCTGCCCAGCCAGACCCCAGCGCAGAGGATGTCGGGATGAATTCCTCACCTGTGCGATGCCAGTGCAAACCTTGCCCAAATTCCCATGTTGCTCTGTTCCTGCTGCCCAGGGCCAAGTGACCCTTTGCCCACACCTCGCACAGGTTGCTCCTCACATCACACCAGGGGCTCACAGTGGGGTGGCCCCTCGTGCCCAGCAGGATTTGTGCACCAACCGTCCCCAACAGCCCTTCACTGTCCCACACCACTGCTCTGCTCTGCTGGTCCCACTGTCCTGCACTGCTGTCCCCCTGTTCCCCCACTGCTGTTCCCACTGTCCCTCTGTCCCACTGTTCTGGCTGTGCTGCTGTTCCCACACCGGTATTCCCACTGTTCTGCTATTCCCGCTGTCCCGCTGTCCCCGCACTACTGTTCCCACTTTCTCGTCATCCCCACTATTCCCACACCGCTGTTCCCGCTGTCCCGCTATCCCCGCTGTTCCCGCACCGCCGCCCGCCCCACAGCCGCCCGCCAGGGGGCGCCCCCGCGGCGCCACCGCCCGCACTTGTTGCTGCCCCCCGCGGCGCGCGCTGTGTCGTGATGCACGCGGCGCTGACGTCACCGCCGGCGTCATTATTAACGATCTCATTCATCTGTTTATTTATTTGCTCGTCTGTTTACATGCCTGATTAATTATTTGTTTGCTTCCCTTTCACTGCGCCCCGCTGGGGCTGCTCCGAGCGTGTGCCCGCCCTCCCTCTTTTCCCCCCCCGGTACCCTCCCGGGATCAGCGCTCGCGGAGGGGGCTCGGGACGGCAACGAGCCAAAAAAATGGGGAGAAAGTGCCACTACTGAGGCACGAGGCGTGGGGAGGGGGGGGAAACGGGGAGGGGGGGATCGGTCCCCGCTTCGCAGCGCTTTCCTCCCGCCCCAGGGTGCCGGGGTTGGCTGCCGGGGGAAAACGGCGATTAGGACAAGGTTCCCCCCGAGTCCGGGGATGGGCGGAGGGTGCTCCGCGGGGGCGGAGGGGCCGCGCAGCCCTCCGGCCGCAGCGGCATCTACCTGCGAGGCTGCGGCTCCCGGGGCCCCGATGGGAACTTTCCGCGCCCGACGCTGCGGGCGGACCTTGCGCCGGTGCGGAGTCCGGAGCGGAGCCTGCCCCGCTCCCCGCGGCTGATGCTCCTGGCGGCGGCCGGAGCTGCCCGCGCAGGAACCGCGGAGGCTGCGCGAGATGCGCAAAGCCCGCGGCTCTCCCGACGTGCGGTGTGGCCGCGGGGGGCGGGCGGGGCGCAGGTAAAGGGGCCGCCCCGCTCCATCCCCTGCCCGCTGCCCCGGCCCCTCCGCGCCCGCCCCGGCACGTCCCGCTGCGCGCCCACCCATCGCAGCCGCCGCGCTCCCCCTCCCCCGGCCGCACTGCCTGTTCCGGCCGAGCCGCGTCCCTCCGCGCAGCGCCATGAATATTGATGTGTTTATATAATCGATAACCCACTTTCCATCCTTTCCCGGGGAAACAGCGATAAATAAATTAGGGACGCGCGCCGCCCGCCCGCCCCTCAGCGGGCAGCCGCCGGGAGGAGGGGGGGGGCGGGAGGGGTGGCAGCCCCCGCTGTCCGCCCTGCGGTGCCGGGCGGTGGGATCGGGCCGGGGCTCGGAGCGGGCGGTGGGAGCGCAGCGGGCGGCCCCGCCGGGCGCGCGCGGACGAGCAGCGCCCCTCGCGCCGCAGGAAATGGTCTTTATATTAGACATATACGGGCAGGTCCTGTCAGATCCGCAGCGCGCCCGCCCGCCCTTTCGGCCCCCCAAAAATCGCTGGGCTCCCGTAGCGCCCCCGCCGCCGTCCCGCCGCCTCCGCGCCACCCCCCCGGGGCCCGCCGCCGCCCCGCGGCATTTTTGCTGGGCCGTGCCGGGCGTCGGGGGGCCGGCCGGCGTCAGGGGGCGCCGGCGGCGGGACGCGGCGGGGCGTCGGCGGGGCGGTGGGGCGGGGAGCGGGCAGGGGGGGGGGCGTCGCCGCGCGCGGTGGGGCGGGGGGCGGTGGCGGCGGCGGGGCGGCGCGGGGGCGGCGGCGGCGGGGGGCGGCGGGCGGCGGGGCCGGCTTCGCCCTGCCAGGACCTGCCGGGCTCCATTCACGCCAACAAGTTTGGGAGAATGTTGAGTTCAATCGCGCCGGAGCCGCGATGGAGCGCAGCGCACTGCAGGTACCGCGCCGCCCCGCGCCCCCGCCCCGCCCCGCGCCCCCCGCCGCCGCGGAGCCCCCTCCCTCCCTCCCGCGCTCCCCTCCCGCCGCCCTCCTCCTCCTCCTCCTGCCCCTGCGCGGCGCGGCGCGGCGCGGCGCGGAGCCGGCGCTGATGCCGCTGCCGTGTTGTTGTTCCCCGCAGTGGGTCGGCGCCCCGTGCGGCTCGCACGGCCCCTACGTCTTCTACAGGGCGTTCCGCTTCCAGCGCCGCGGCGGCGGCCGGGCGCGGGTCCTCTCCCTCGGCGACTTCTTCTTCGTGCGGTGCCGCGCGGAGGAGCCCGCCTGCATCGCGGAGCTGCAGCTGCTCTGGGAGGAGCGCACCAGCCGGCAACTTCTCTCCAGCGCCAAACTTTATTTTCTCCCCGAGGACACCCCCCAGGGCAGGACCAGTGACCATGGCGAGGTGGTAAACGCGGCGCCGGCCCCCTCCCCTTTCAGCCCCCCGCGCCCGTCCCCACCTGCATGTCCGGGTTTGGCTCCCCCCTTCCCTCCCGTTTGCTCCCCCCACCCGCGCCCCCCTCCCCGCCGTGCGTGGCGGGGCAGCGCGGAGGGGCCGCGCCGTCGGGGCGCACCGGTGCGCGCTGCCCGGGAACTTGTGCGGGCGGAGGGAAGGCGGGAGGGGGTCGCGGTGCGGGGCGCCCCCGGCCCGGCGGGCAGTGGAGGGTGTGCGGGGCTCGCCTTGTCCTTCTCCCGCATCGTTAACAAAAAAAAAAAAACAACAACAACAACAACAAAAAAAAATCCGAAAAACCCAAAAGACGCGGAAAAGCGGGGAGAAAAACACGTCGGGGTGATTTCGATATTGTTCGGGGCTTTTTTTAAGTATTCGATATGTTTAAGAGGGCGGAAATTACGAAATGGAGGCAGAGGGAGATCAAACGCTCTCGAGCTGGCAGGGACGTGTTGAATAAAGTGATAAATGACAGGTACGGGAATAATACATTCAAATAACTTGCAGATATGCCTGGGCGTATTTCGGAGCCGCCGCGCTCCCGGCGCAAACGCGCTGCGCGCCGGCACCTCCGCCCGCGGCCGCGCAGCCCGGGATGGGGCCGCGCAGCCCCGCACCGCCCCGCCCCGCCCCAGCCCCGAACCCTCCCGTTATCTGCTTCGCTAATTCATTGCTTCGGCGGTCCCCGGTCTGGGGCGGGGGATGGAGAGGGTCCCCGAGAGGGGCTGGAGATCAGGCGGGAGGGGGATGAGATGTTTTGGGGTAACTTGTGTTGTGGATGCCGGGGGAGTGTGGGTTCGAAGGGGGGCTGTCCGCAGGAGCTGTTTTCGGAGGCACGCGTGGCTGTAGGTGCCGGCGTAGCCCTGTCCCCGCACACATGCGTACGCGGCTGAAACGCGTTTCAGAGCCACCTTCGCTCGCTGCCACCTCTTCACTTTAATTTTCTGTGCGTGCCGCTGAGATAAGGGAGCTTTTTCCTAAGAATCAGGGAGATGACAGTGAGCAATGGATGCTCTGAAATTGCCCGTGGTGACTATTTAAAACTGTGCCTCTGTGTGTCTCGTGTGTGTGTAAAATGAAAGATATTTGGAAGGGGGGGGTGGGGAAAGGGACACAAATCATTTTAATACGCCTTAATGATCAGCTCATGTTACTGTGGTAGGAACATAAGAGAAAATTAATCCTACCATTACGAGTAAAACACTGCTCTGGTACGAGAGTTCTCAGCTGCATGTACCCTCCTAATAATACGCACAATTTTATTTATTTTTACATGCAAACACCGCTAGTAATTAGCCGTGTGATTATACTTGTGCATTTCACTGGGGCTTTAACTGATGTCATTCTGCATTATTCAACCATATGAAAACAATTTTCAATTAAGATAATGGCACGCCTTGAAATTATGCAAATGCCGGCCGTATTGTGTAGAATAATTATGACAAATGCAAAGCAGGTAAAAAGTTTCCTAATGCAGTTGTGTTTTACACCCTGGTGATGTCATTTCCCCTCTGGCCTAAGTTAGTCATTCATTAGCAGAGTAGCAGCAGCAGCAGCAACAGCTCTGAGTGATATTTCTCTGGCAGGGAGCCTACAGAAACCGGCACTGAGAGCCAGGGCCTAGAGAGGGCAACATAACACTCCCATTAAGAAATGTACTTTGTTTTCACTTACTCCATTAACTTGTTTATAGACATCAGAATGATTTTTTATGATCGATTTTTAATAGTTTGGAACGATCCGAGCTGCGCTTGGAGATGTGCAGGTGGACAGGAGACAAAAGGCTGGGTGCTGGCTGGGGCTGTGCAGGGTCCTGGCTGGGGGGTGACCAGCCTCATCAGAGCACAGGGTGGCTGTTCCCCCTGACCACCCCAAGGTCCCGATCCCTTAGGTAAATGACACCTGCATCTGTCCCCAAAGGGGCGTCAGGGCCGCTCTGGGGTCGCAAGGCTTCCTGACTCCAGGCTGAGCTCCTTCTGCAGGAGGAGATGCAGTTGGTGGGTCAGAGGCGGCTTGTAGCCATCAGGGTAGACTTTATTCGTGGTGTGGGACTGCTGATGGGGTAAAACACCTTATCTTGCATTCAAGGAACGAAGTGAGACGGTGCTTACACGTGCATTGCAAATCCGCAGTGTCCAAGGCAAAGGGTGAGAGGGGCGCTCGCTGTCCGTGGATTTGTCGGCGAGGGGAACGAGAGGTTGAATCGCGGGCTTGCGATGGAGCCCACAGGAGGTTTAGGCACAGTCACTGGCAGCTACCTGCGCTAGAGGCATGATTAATAGAAGCAGCTGGCTGCCTGCTCTCTGTAATAGCAGCACTGACACTATGACAGTATTCAGCTAGTGGCTGTGAGGAGGGAGAAGCGAGGAGGTATGTAATGCTTCTGTTAGTCAGAAATTTCTGATGGCGTATTTTATCTGATTGCCAAATGTTTGAGCTAATCAGCAATAAGCGTAAATATAAGTCTTTTTATAGCTAGCTGAATTCATCATCCAGATTTAAATATAACCCCGACTGCTGCTAAAACTGGATGTTTCCACGCACTGGGGCCCAGACCCAGGGAAGGTTCAAGCCCAGATGTGCCTCTGCTGCGATACCTCTCCCTACACCTGAGGCTCAGCATCCCCATCACCTCCGTGGAGAAACTCCTGTTCACCCCCAAGAGCTGGCCAGAGGTTGCTTCCCAGGGAGTCTCAGTGGATGGTGAACGTGGGATGGGGCTGGTCACATGCAGCAATAGAAGTGCTCCTGGCCCTGATGCTCATCACATCCCAAAGAGATGCCTGCTCCGAGGCATGGAGAGCCTGGCAGCAGCTCTGGCATCATGCTTGGGCCAGGGGTCTTGCTGCGCAGGAGCAGCGGAGACATCTTTTTAAGAGCAACAGTGCCTTTGGGAACACTGTTAGGTGAGGTAGAAGAGGTTTGTGCTACTTCGGTGAAAACTTTGTTGCTGCTTTTAAGACACAGGGACCCGAGTGTGCTGCCTCCCACCTTGCCATCCAGCCCAAACACTTCAGCACTCTGGTCAAAGAGGTGAGGAAGAAGTGGCTCTCCTCTGTTCCTGGAGAGCCATTGCCAAACTGGAGAAAAGTGTCTTCTTCTGGAGGAAATCACCACCTTGCCCCTATTTTCTTGTCCACTCCTGGTCCGGCACAGTTCCCTGTGTCACCTCCAGCATAGGCTGGGAAAACCTGTGTAATGGAAGGTGTCTCGCACAGGGTTCGAAGGAGGATGCTTGGGGGGATGTGAAGATCCTGAGGGAGCTGGCCCTAAGAGCACACTGTTGCACTTGAAACAGTTTTGCAGGGTGAGTGTGGAAAGCAGCCCCCCAGCTCTTTTGGCACCTGACTGGGAGAAGTACATGCTGGGCGAGGAGACCCTTGTCTGGTCCCCTTGCTCAGTGCCCTGGTCCTGTGGCAGTCAGGGAGCGCAAGGTGGGCTCAGCCCCCAAGTCCTCCAGCCCACAGGGTCTTGACCAAACCCTCCTCCAGCTCATTTATTCCTCTGTGCTCCAAGGGGTAGCGTGGGGCTGTGGAATGACTGACCTTTGCAGAAGCAGTTCTAGAGCAGAATGCTTGTTAGTGCCATGTGTTTTCATGTTTTTAAAGGTGTTGGCATTAATTAGACTAGGCTTAAAAATATATCTCAAAACTGGTACTCATTAAATCCAGAGATGGTATTTGATGTGATGCCTACAATTCCTAAAGAAACCCAAACAACCAACTAATTCACTTTGCATGGTCTGACATTCCCTGCATTGCCCTGCATTGTGGTGAATGGTGCTTCCACTGAGTCTGGACTGTCAGTGGGGATCTGCCTTTGGTTCATTCATCAGCAGTGAAGTTTACTACGAACTCATGTTGATTTCATCTCTTCTCCCGAACTGGGGATCTGATGCAATGCTTTTCGCCTTGCAAATAATCCTTACTCATGCAAGTAATTTACATGAGTAAGCGTTGCTCATACAGAGGAGAGGAGAGAGCTAGTTTCCTGTAATTATTTCCCTAGCAGTATTTTGCATTTTCAGACTAATTGGGGGAAAGGAAAAAAAAGAAGTCACTCCATAAATGTACGTCACTTTATAATTTCAGGAGAGATTCTTCAAGAAAGTTAAGGGAGGCAGTGGGTTTTTTCTCCCTTCATTTCGGGACAGATGTTCA